TCTATCTGCATGGAAATTTACATAATATATCAATTTTTAGCTTCAAAGAAAATTTAGTGAGCCTTTGCGTGGTGATAGTGAAAGAAATTTTGAATGGGCCTGCAGAGCTGTTACCTTGTTTGAACATATCCTTGATACTAAAGATTTACTCCATTTGAAAAGAAGACAAATTGCACAACGGGGAAGTCAAGCAAGGAAAGGGTAGCTAGGTGGAGGGAAAGAATGAGAGCTGATCCGGTTAAATATGAACAGTATGCTTATACTGTTCATAAAGAACATGAACGATATCTAAAGAAAGAATTATTTATCATTTAATGATTAACCTGTCCGTGCTCTGTCTTTGCCCTGTCCTGTTTTTGTTTGGGGTCCGCCTGGGCTCCTTGCCACTGGTTCTTGTGACTGGGTCATATGGGGGTTGCGTTCATTGAACGCCGCCTTTCCTTGTTGATCTTGTTTATCATGTTTATCATATTTTTTGTTAGATCAATCGAAGATATACTCCTCGAGAACAAAATAAGACTCGTAGAGCTTGGAGAATAAGTCAGAGGAAAAGAACCAAAAGACTCTAATACTTGAAAGAGATGATGATTCCACCAACATCACCAGAAGAACAAAGATCAGAAAACAGAGCCAAGGCATAAAGAAGAATTATAGAACACTGAGAAAAGAAACATGCCTAAGGTGAAGGAACAAAAAAGGAATCAGCGACTGATGAAATAGAGAAGATAAGAATCCCTAAAGAACACAACATTATTGAAAATGTTGCAGGCTCGGTTTGATTGAGCCTGTTCATGGACGGTACTGTTAAGTGCAACTACCGTCCACGCCCCCTAGCACCGGCTTAAGCAGAATTCAACATTTAAACATGAAATGATGAAAGCAGAAGGAAAGACATATCGCAATACATTTGCTTTTAGAAATAAGAAACAAAATGAAAAAGAAAAAACATAAAACATTTAGGAGGTTGATGATAGATCATAAAAGAGAAGATACCAAGACACAAAAAGCTATAAACAGAGGCAGTTGATTTCCACACTCATATGTAGCCATGCTGTTTTGCAAAAATACAGGTTAAGAAAATATGCGTCGAAAGTTCTTTGTATGACTATGAGAAAATAGAGAGAAATGAGAATCCCCAAAGAACGCCCAACACGGCAATATTGAAAGTGTTGCAGGCTCGGTTTGATTGAGCCTATTCATGGACGGTACTGGATTAAGCAGTATTTAACATGAACTCCTCAGATGTGTTTATATGACGGTTATCATGGAACCTTCAATGTGACAAGTAAGTGCCATTCCACGAAAAGCGGCATATGGTCCCCAAAGAAAAAAATGCGTGTGCCCGTAACGAGAAAACAATGGGCGGAACTAAATAAAATGGAATTTTAAAAGGGGATCTGAGGATATGAAGCATGCATATCACAGATATGACGTCAAAAGAGAAGATTGAAAGGTACACCAATTAAATCTGTTGAGAAAATTGCTACTTATAAGAAGGATGCAAAATTTGGATGTAAAAACAGATTCGACTTCTGAATGACGACATCATAAATAAACATGAAAAGTATCAGTCAGAAACAGGAAAGAAGATATCTTATAATTGATTTTGCAGATTTAAACCTTTCTGAGTCAAGCCAACCTCAGCAGACAGACAGACATGCATATAGTAAAATACATGACAATCTCCATATAAAATTAATAACTGCATTTTCAGCAAACATGTACAAAACGAAAAATATAAAGTATGACCTGTGAACAATTTCTAATTTTACGGTGGATTCGATAGTTAATAAAGCTGAAATCATAGATTCATGAAGTTAAAATCACGAAATGTAAAGTTTAAATGTTTATTGAAAAGGTATCTGACAGATTTTATTTAACAGGGTGGGCTAAGAAAACGGTGATATATTTCATCTATCTTTATATCTATGTTCATCGTTATATCATCTTGTAATAATAATCGGGATATACCGTGTAATTCTGATTTTTTTTGCATAATATTAGATATAATTATAATACGTTTACCCACTTATCCGGAAATATTAAAATTTTTAAGTTGTAGAGCTACCCTATTTTCACTCATTGAACACTAAAAGATACATATTGATTTGCAAATGTTTCTTAATTCAAGAGTTTTCAAAAACAAACTACGGAGAATGATAATCTGACCAGATAACTGGAACAAAAAGTGAAAACAATGGGGAAAAAGGTTGACACCCTGTAGGGTTTGAACCTGTGTCCTGTGTAAACTTAGTATTTTAAATGAAAAACCAGTACTCTTAAAATTAATGTTCTGCCTTAGACATCTAATACCTTAATACTTATTAGTACGCTTAGGTTTGTAAATAATGTTGCACTAGATGAATCTCTTCTTTCGGATTATTTTACACCAGTCAATATTTCAAATTATTTTTTTCTTTTTTTGATTCGATGATATATAATTAAAAAGTGCAGATATTTGATACTTGGTGAGCTGCAGCGCTGTTTTAAGAAGTTTTGAATTGGATTCAGTGCTACCTAAATTATAAAATGTCTTATATTTACGGTATATATATTATACTGTGTTAAACAAAGGTAAATGTCAAAAACATATCTAAACAAATTAACACATATCTAAACAAATTATTTTATTTTTAAACATATCAGCAGCAATTATTGTTAAATGTACAAGACAACTCCATCATATTCAACATCATTGTAATTAGTAAGTAATTGTGACAACAATGCAGTAAGTAATACTGAATATTTTGTAAAAATGCATTACTTGACAATGCAAGTCCTCTATTTAAGGAAGCATTGCCAACATCAGTGAAATATTAATCAGTTAGATATTACATTATGATTATAAAATGTAATACATAATAATTTATACATGCACTTTGTCTGATTTGTTTTCCAAACACTTACATTTGCATACTTATTTCGTAAACATGACGGACGATAATATTTTGAATAAATTTAAACAGTTAGGTATGAAAACAAATTCGTATAATTGATGTGATATAATGCCGTCCTGTGTATAATGTTTTTTTTTAAGTACAAAAAAGTGTTTTAGATAGCAAGATTGATAGCAAAATGTTATTGCATTAGAAAAAAAAATGATTACAAATTTATGTTACAAAATATGTGCCATAATCATATGCTTCGTTGCAATGGAATACAAGAGACGGTCGAACTGGGTGATGCTCCCCGAATAGGTTTTGAACACAGAGAAGTAGTTTCCTGTTGATAACTTATGTTGTTTCAGAGTTATGTCTCAAACAAAGTTACAGGGCAAAGACAGAGCACAGACAGTGTAAAAATGAAAAGAAAGAGCAATAACTCTTAAATGAGGCAAGACAGAGTTTAAATTTAAAATATACCTCTCAGTTTACACGATATGAACAATACACTATTTTCAATATTTGCTAAGTATCACATCAAACCTTATATATACTGTTCAATTATTATTTTAACTGTAACGTATGGTTATTCAGAACAAAATTTGTAGTTAAAAGTATTACATCTTAAAACAGTCCCGAAGTGCATAAAACATGGATAATAATAAAATGTACAACATCAATGATTAATATGTAATTGATGAAAAATGTCTTCTGGAGCGACCCCGTTGATTCTTTGTCATTAATTAGACAGAAGTAAATGTTAAGGCAAAGATAAATTAGTAGGCTAGATATGTTTCTTAAGTATAATATCCTAATATCGAAAGTAAATACAACACATGCTAAAGTGTTTCAAGCTTTCCTTTTCAGTTACTTGCCTCGTAATATTATTCTCTTTGTTCTTACGTTTTTTTGTTTTTTTTGCCGTTTCAAAGTGAAATGAAAAAGCTGAACCTAAAAGGGAAACGATATACGCTCTGACTTAAAAAGCTAACAAGAGTAAAACTGAATAAAAAAAGGGACTTTCGATGAATTGTAATTGAGAAAACGTATATGTTCTCAATTATTTATATTTGTATTTTTTTCTAGACAATTTGTTTTATTTTTGTCTTGATCTGACCAGAAAAAAGACACTCCCCAAACTAAATAATGACATTTAATTCTGCAATTAGTGATATTCTATATTTTATAGGATCTCTAAGAAACGTAAATAATTTTCTTTTTGGTTCTGTTCTCGAAAATTGATTGTTTTCTTTTGGTTTGTTTTGATATACATGTGTTATTTTTGTTTTGAATGTAAAACATTATATAATTTAGAACAACATCAAACACGGGGCATTTGATTTAAATGGTGGCTTCCTTTTCATAACATATGACTGATAATCTCTTTTATTTTGTCTCAATGTTTGAGCCTTAAGTTTCACTGTTTTAGTCAAGTTAAAGCACAACAACCATTAAATGGTTTGATGAATAAGCGTAAATCTAACATAATCAGTGATATTTTGCACATTTTAAGCATATCTAAACCCTACCCACGCGACAAATTTTGACATTTCAGCATACAGAAAATCGTTTGTAAACAGCGCCAATATACTGCTCGTTTATCCCTGCTCAGAAGCGTCTCATGTGGAGTTTGTCGAAGCTACGCTTGAGTTTTCAACTCTGATGTCTCCCTTTGGTTGTATTTCTGACTACCTGTATTTTAAGGATGTTGATAATTGTAAATGTAATTTGAGTGTGACAGACACAATAGTACTTCATTGCAGAGTAATAAGTTGTCGTTTATTTTTTTACTTTTTTTATTATTTTTTGTTGTTGTTGTTGTTATTTTTCATCGTTTGACCAGTAAATTATTAAAACAAGCAAATAGGAAATAATAATGCATTTACGAATTGTATGAGTGTTTTTCCGTTTTATTTATATTTATTCTCTTTCCCTCATAGTTAAATAATTGAACGTTAATAAATTCGTCCTACGATGTTACATAGACAATATATAGATAACACGTTATAAATCATCTATGAGATGGATCTGATTTTTAAACTTTGGTCTGTCATCAGGTCAATATAGATAACACAGATTCAAGCCGTCCATGTTCTTCCTTATCTTATTAAGTTCAAAAGTATTTTTGTATATTTAATTGTTGTATTGACACAATATGGCGAATTTTTTATGTGGAAACATCATCATTTTTCTAATTTTTCGTTTCTGTAATGGGATCTTATTAGAGACTAATGAAGAATGTCCAGTTCTTGAACAGCGCTTGATTGACACTCAAGATAAGGTGAAACTTCTTGAGGAAGAAATAAAGCTTTTGAAGGTAATACACTTTACAGCTACCTTAAAGCTAAGCTTAGATAAGCAAACTTAATACAATAATAAATAAACTTATTGTGCTATTGTTCATATCTTTCCCTTTTTTGCTTTTACAGCTCATCTGTGATCTTCATTCTTCAAATTTAAACTACCGCAAAAGCGTGCTGCTGAAAATTATCAAAATCTTGATATCATATAATCGACTTAAATTGTATATAAAACAGACATCAATTTAACAGATCGACCTACCTGACCGACAGTTATGGAGTAAAGAAAATTAGATCAAAGGCAGACAGGTAAACGGGAAGGAGAAGGTTAATGTGTATGTATCAACAAAAAGATAGATGCTAAATGTCTGGCATACCAAATCATACAATTAGACAAAAACTTACAATCTTATCTAAAATGTATGAAATACAATTTATACTTTTCTTTAGTCTATATCTTCATGTCATTGTCGAGATGGATGGATACATGGCAACGGTTCCTGTTACTACATGCCGAATCAACAGAAGACCTGGAATGATGCACGTGCGTTCTGTCAGCAGCTTGGTGCGCACTTAGCAGTGATAGGAACTCCGGAGGAAGACAAAATCGTTTCCGACTTTCTGACTAGGTATTATAACTTGCTTTTCCATATTTATTAAGTTGCAAGACCGTAAGTTGGTATACATTATGTTTTTGTTTTTTATTCGTAACTACCGTTATTATGGTGATAAACATTTTACTTTATATTTTGATAGATTTTATGGTTTTAAGATTAATGAAGAATGCGAAATGTAAATATAATCACCTTCTGCAGAGCACACAACATGAGCAATGCATACGAGGGTGTAACTTATGTCTGGTTGGGAGGATATGATTTTGCGCAGGAAGGACATTGGCACTGGGTGACTGGTGAACCATTTGTTTACACTAATTGGCGGGGTGGAGGGCCTGACAATGGAGCAGGGGGTGGTGAAGACTGCATGGACTGGAGTAACGGCTGGAATGATAACGTTTGTAGTCATTCCTACTATTTCCTATGTGAGATGTAGCCCTTTATAAACAAGTTATGTCTTATATCAATTGACGTTGTGTTTTTCAACCCTGGTGATAGAAGTCTCTACATTAATTGAATAAGCTTAATGCTTGAAATTTAAATTGTTATTTACCGTTATCATTTTCGAGAAATGATCACATCCATTTTCTAGATTTTAATATTTAAAAATTTATTCTTCAACTTACGAAACAAAATATCCTTAATTATGCCTGTTTCAGTATCTTTTACATGATATCTAAGATTTAAAATATTGACCACACCCCCTGCGTCCAGTTAATGTTGTTGATCCTGGCTTAAGCCTGCTAATCGACATTCTGACATATGATAATCAGCGAGTTTGGATATTGTAATACATCGATAATTGTTAAAACTGGAGAGGTTTCATTTTGGAAATAAACTTAGAAAGACAACAAAAAAACTTTTTAATTTTCAAATATATTACCTGTTTTTACAACCATGGTTTCTAATGTATCTCTGAGATAAGCAGATCTTATCCTTGTCAGATTCATGCGCACGTCAATCATGTGCTCGACAATGATGGCATCACTTTATAAGAAGATTTTTACATCTTAAAGAATTTTAAGAAAATATAGATCATTCTGAAAATACAAATAAAAAGGCGTGATAAGCTTATCAAAGGCGTAATAACGCGTGTCAATGCCTAAAACTTGAATAAAGGCGTGATAACGCAAATAAAGGCGTAATTACGCTTATCAAAAGGCGAAAATACCCAAATAAAGGAGTAAAACGCAAATTAAGGCGTAATAATGCTAATAAAGGCGTTGTAACTGGAAACAAATGGCGTAGGAGTTATAGACAACAAAGAAACGATCAAAGCATACACACACATCAGTTTTACGACAACAACACATATTTACTTGACCACATAATTACACACAATGATTTATGAGTATCCTCTGTTTCCAAGGGGCAGGACGTGAAGTGGTTGCACACTTGGTTCAAGCGAGCGAATTGGTTGCAAACTTGACAAAATGGCGAAAACGACGTGATTTTTTGAAACGGGTGAACGAATTTTTGCCAGGCAAGTGGGTTTCTTTGTTATTTTGAAGTTCATAAGTATGTCTATTCCATAATGCAATATATATGCCACACTCGGTTAAAGGTTTCAGCATCCTAGATTCTGTTTTGACGAAGTTATTGAAGATATAAACTGATCATGTAGATATTTTAAAATTTGACATGAGACTGTTCTGGTCGTTTTTTCTCCTTATTTATTCGAATTTGTAAATTTTGAACTGCATTTAACAATAACAAAATATGTTTCTGTCAATGCTGTAGGCCTACAAATGGTTTAGTTCGCAAGTCCGAAGTTAACGTTCAATTTACAAAAATATCTTGTTCAAGCACATTTTGGTTGCAGACTTATCTTCACGCATTTTTGGTTGCAAACTTATTCTTATTCTATTGAAATCCATAGTTAAACTTTGCAAAAGAAGTGTAGAATGTTATATCTATTAACCTTTTTTCAATGGCAATTATTGAAATTCATGTTCTGTTACTTCTTTTTGTTATAAATGTTATTTATACTTTCTTCTTTTACAACAATTATGTACTTTATGTTTTAAATTACATGGTTCTCAGTTCAATACTATAATCATCAGTAAAAGCCTGCAAACAAAATAAAAGCATGTAGAAAAATATTTATTGATACTTCAATTCTAAAATATGTCATCATATGTCAAATGCAAATGAAAACTACATACAAACAAACATATGTAAGAGTATTGTTGTATTTAAGTGAATTATTTTCATCATAAACCTAAGGACATGTGCACACATACGATGTTATTCGGCAAAATTTCCAAAGTTTATCAAAACCACAAGAAATTTTAATTTGTTTGTTTCATATGTAAAGATCAGCAGTTGCTTTAGACATATATAGTATTGAAATGTACTTAAAATATTTTTACAAACCAAAAGTTAAATGACGTTCATGCTTGTTTACAATATTTCGGATTTGATGTACATCATATGTCAATTAGTATTCTAAAGATGATTTTGATTATTAGATCATAATATAAATGATATACGATTGGTTATTTACATTGACTGATACGTGACAAAACTACTTAAAGTCATTGTTCGAGTTAGGGAATTTGGAAAATGTTTCGATTGGTCGATTATAAGGACCAATTTAAAGAAACATGTGAATAATGCCCTTGTGTCAATGTTAATATAGTTTTTATCTACTATATAATCAAATTTATTTCAAATCTCAAAAAAGATCAATAATGAAAGCTGTTTGTTGCTATTTTTTTTCTTCTTGTCCTTTACAGTTAGTCATGCCAAGATATAAAAATGTCCTAAGACTTTGTAAAAAGAAAAGGAGTACATCGAGGAGAAAAATGATGAAGATAAACACAACTGAACTTCAATTTAGAATATTGTGTTATATATCTATTTGAAAGACCCTGTTTTAGGATATATCTGCACGCATGCACAATTTGTATAGATATTTTTTATTAGAAGAACGGGTATAATTGCCTTAATATTGCTAATTATTTTTAAAAAATGATAAGTTATTCCTCGCTTAAAATATGCATGCCACATTATTGACACAAAAGTTTGCAACCAAAAATGCTTGAAGTATAAGTCTGCAACCAAAATGTGCTTGAACAAGATATTTTTGTGTATTGAACGTTATTTTCGGACTTGCGAACTAAACCATTTGTACAGCAATGACAGAAACATATTTTGTTATTGTTAAATGCAGTTCAAAACTTACAAATTTGAATAAATTAGGAGAAAAACCGGCCAGAACAGTCACATGTCAAATTTCAAAATATCTACATGATCAGTTTATATCTTCAATAACGTCGTCAAAACAGAATCAAGGATGTTGAAACCTTTAACCGAGTGTGGCATATATATTGCATTATGGAATAGACATTCTAATGAACTTCAAAATAACAAAGAAACCCACTTGCCTGGCAAAAATTCGTTCACCCGTTTCAAAAAATCACGTCGTTTTTGCCATTTTGTCAAGTTTGCAACCAATTCGCTCGCTTGAACCAAGTGTGCAATCACTTCCCGTCCTGCCCCTTGGTTTCGATATGATTGTTTGAAATAGGATATCACTATTGATATTACATTTTAGGTCAAGTTAATTCGCACGCAGACGAAAAACGAATTATCTATGCTACTTGGCATTAATCCATTCTTCAATATGCAATGATCTTACTTGATCTTACCTTTCGTTTTGCGTTTCATCATATGAATTATCGTCTAATGAATTATCATGAGAGTTCAGACAATATTTGTGAGTGATACAATCTGTCCACATTGTCATAGACGCTTTGACTATTTACAAAATGTGCAAATATCATGTGAGATTCAAGGTTAGTTCACAATGGTTTTAGATTCGATTTTGTGTGTACATGTTCATTGTGTATGCTTACAGACTTGTTTAACATAATGTTTATATATTTTTATATCATATTATATACATGTCCCTTATTAGATGTTATATTTAAGTAAACGAACAAAACAATGACATGGTCATAACGGATTCAAACCTATAACATGGTTAAAACATATACCAAAGAATAATAGTTTCAGAATTAGTAAAAAGAAATAATACATTTTTACAAATAAAGTGTTTTACAACCATTTATTTATTTTTATGTTGGAATCCACATGGTAACCATTTCTAGAAAAATGATTACATAAAATACATATTTTTTTCATAGTTGGCTGATTACACATGATTCAATTCCGTATTTTATGCCACCGCAGCCTATTTGTCCTTTACTATGCAGCTATGAAATTTGAACCATGTGCACAGATAAAGATGTAAAGTGAACATTGATATCAGCTGGCCTAGATTTTGACAAAGTGTCTTACTGTGTTGTCCTTTGTACAGTCATCGAATTTTGGCCATGTGAAATATGACCTTCATCACCAAATTCACTAGACTCAACTGAATTGATAGATTCCTACTCTGATCTTATATTTGAATAACAATATATTTAACCACTAAGGTTATAATAAGTATTAGAAAGAGCATCGAAACACGAGGCTAGCCCCCGAGTATTAATCAGATTGCCGAGTGTTTTGATGTTCTTTATCTTTTGTATCATAATCAAACATAAAAACACGTTCCCTGTAGTCACAATATGAAACCCCGGAGAAAGAAACCAATGAACGAGCATCTTAATATGACATTTGTGTCGCTTTCCCTTTCTCTGCCGTCACAATATGTAAACCCCTGCAAAAATGAGCCAATCGATGACCATGCTCTGAGTGCGGGTAATAAATACCTGTACTCCAGTTAACGCACGGTGCATGTATATGTATACGATTTAACTTGGACACATTTTCAACAGAAAGGTCCCCAAACCATGATACAAGAATTAGATAGGTCAGTGATCTATGCATTATTACAATCTTCATTTGTATAGAAACAAAAAAATTCTGTTCCTACATTACTATTTAGTGTTGTATTAATGCGGTGGCATAGCATTTTTCACAAATGCAATCTTGTTTCATGTTACTGCCTTTTTTCTGAAAGATGTCGACTTACATAACTTGTAATGTTGTTGTGATTAATGCTTCCGAGGGATCACTTTGTTTCCAGATTCTTTACATAGCATTGCTTTAAACTGTTAAAACCGATAATAGAAACCCATACAACCCATGCTTTTGTATATCCTTTCAGCGTCTTTTTTAAGACCTTGTAACGCAAATTTCTTTTGTTGCTCAATTGAAGTATGAAGATTTATCGATATTGTAAGTTTCAAAAAGTATTATTTGTAAAAGATATTACCGAATTATCATGTTGATAAAGGGAGGTAATTAGAAATTTATTTTCGATAAAGTCTTAGCCAGTTTTTTTTCCTTCTTCTTCAATGAATGCATTAACCTCGGAGATGAATTATAATGTAATATACATTTGCTGTACATATTTAACATATTTTTGGATGTTTAGAAATTGTTTAAGAACAATAATTATATGCATGTATAAAAAATTCACTTAACTGTAACATCCTTAATTACAACATACAGG